GCTTTCGTCCCGAACTGAACCACCATTCGGTTGATTCCCTGAGAAGAACATGGCGCTTGTGGGGAGGTACCTGGAAGATCATTTTCCTCTTGAAGGGACCCCGTGTCAGCTGGCATGTTAGTGGGCGGGAGGGTAAGTCTTGTCCCTTTCTTGCTGGCTGGCAACTTCGCACAACTCACGCGTGGAGCTGCCTTAATGAACCTGAGTCCTTCCTGGGTTCGTGTAGAAACCAAAGGAGGCACAAGTCCACCCTTCCACATACTTCTTATATGTAAGTCTATATGATATATATATATACACTCCTGTGGGATATTAAAAGAGTAATTACTAAAAAAGAACCCACAGGAGGGGGGAGAACAGGTAAAATCCTTTGAACTAGCGCATCCAAAACCGTTGTCTAGAAAAAACAATGCCTGTTCTGCGCGCCCCACGTTTTATAGGACTCCACCGAATTTCTTCTCCGGGCCTCGCCTTTTTCGGAGAGCGAACGAATGAGCCAGCATCAGGCTGCGGCTCGCGGAGGACCTGCAGAAGCACCCGCCCAAGGCTCGATGCGCCGGAAGTGGGGCGATCTGAAACCTTGGCTCCCAGCCTGCCGGTCCCTTAGCTTTGTGGGGAAATCCCTTTAGCTTTGTGGGGCACCTTGTGGCAGATTCCCTTAGCATTTTAGTGTTTAGTGGTTGGATTTCCATCACTAACAGTTTAAGTTTTAGCGAGGGATCTGAGGGCAGCCCAGTAACCCATCGCAGGCGCTATGTGTTTGTGGAGTTGGTAGTTGGTGCCAGCTGTTTGGGTGTTTTGTTTTTGACAAATGGATGTTCGGGGGCCCCTATGTTGACACATACCCATGTTTGTGTGTGTGTGTGTGTGTGTCAAGCCAACTGGCCGGTGATCCGATTGGTGACCCTTCAAGCCAAATGGTATCCTCAAAACAGGTCCCGCCGCCACTAACAGCGCAGCAGAATTCACAACCCAGGCAACGGAAAATCAGGAGTTCTGGGTGTGAAACACCTGCGGCGTCCCGAAATGTCACAAGCAATCATGCGTGTTGCGCCGCCATTGGCAATTGTACGAGTACAGCTTGGCCTGCCTTCTTCGCGTCTTCAAAGCCTTTCAAAGATCCCGATGAACACCATTTCAACATGAACCTTGCTTGACCGTTTGGCTTTGTTGGGATCCCAAACTAGTTTCGTCAGTAATAGCGACAAGCCATTGATGCCCGTTCGGCTCCATTACACGAACCACGCATGTCACACACACACGCATACACACATCGCCAACGGGAAGTGTCAAAGCCTGCGGCTAGTAGCTTGAAGTGACTTGCTTTTGCCAAGGCTTATTTGTCTGATTTTGGCATTTGGTTCTCGTAAGGTCTGGAAGAGTCAGCTGTTTTCTGGTGCCTGACAGGACCAAGCGGACACGAATGGACAGGGGGCACCTACGGGCACCCATAGAATTGAGCTCGCCGTGTGAGGCTTGCAGGTGTTGGTGAGGCAAGCTTCAGGCTCAAACTGAGAGAGCTGAGAAGAAAAGCAATGGCTTCGTACTTTGAGTAGGCATGCCCAACCTGCGATCCGTTCCCGGCCTCCTTCTCTTGCTCTTGCTCCCGGCATGGGCGGAGCTTCAGAGGGCTTTACAGGAGGATGACTGCGAAGCCTCTCGGATACCTTGTATGGGGTCTGACAGGGTTCTCACTCACTCTCTGCTGGTTGCAACATTTGGCTCACAGACCTCCGGCGGGTAGCCTGCTTTTTGTTCCGACCAGTTTTTCGACTTGTGCAACAAAATGGCTCACAGACCTCCGGCGGGTAGCTTGCTTTCTGCCCGTTTGTGTTGTTTATACATACATATATATATATATATATATATGCTCACCCCCCCCCATGATCCACATTTGGCATTGCTGCAGTGTATGGTCTCAGCTTTGGCTCCTTAATTTGAATGGCTGAAGTACTTTTAGCCCGTCTCCCAATGGAGGCTGTTAAAATAATAACAGCCATGGCAACGAGCGCCACGCCGAGCCCTATCGCTCCATCCAGATGGCCTACAAAAGTAGGTTATCTACCATGTGGCTACTTGGCCGATTTCATCGAGTCGAAAACTGCAGTTTCTTATGGGGTCCTTCTGCTGTCATTTCTGCTCTTGCCCATCTAAGGATCGGAAGTGTTCAGCTTCGAAGGCTTGCACTTCAAGATCAGCGCGAGCGAGGAGACCGTCCTCCAAGAGAATGAACTTGGCTTGATTATGATTGAGAGGCATTTGCCATAGTTTTTTATGGGACAGTCCTTAGGACTGCTTTTACTCTCTCAGTTTTCCAAGCCGCAAGGGAAAAAAGCCTGCTGACCATGTACGCCTGAGTCTGCTTGCGTATCAAGCTCATTAAGTTTCCTTGTGCTATACTGCATCCATTGCAAAGCTGGGCAACTTTCTGATATTCCAACCCCATGATCCACATTTGGTATGGCTGCAGTGTGTGGTCTCAGCTCTGGCTCCTTAGTTTGACCCCGCAGTGTGTAACTAATGGCTGAAGTACTATTAGCCCAACTCCCAATGGAGGCTATTAACATACTGCTTGCATCTCAAGCTCATCAAATTTCCGTGTACTCTGCTGCAGCCATTTCAATTTGAGGTAACTTCCTGATACTCCCTTCTGCTCCAATCATGGCATCTGTGCCTCCTCATCGTGCTGAGTCGCTGGCTCGTTCCTTCGACAACGCAAACCTGGACGGCAACTGCACATTGGAGGAAGCCATCGCCCACACCGACGGCATGAAGATCCTTTACCTGGAGAAGCCAATGGTGGTGAACAAGGAGCCCGGTTCCATTAAGCTAGGCGATTTGCCAGCTAAAATGGAAATCACCGACTCCGTGAAAAAGAAGACGCAGTTCCTCGATGTCATTGCTGACCACGAAGGGCCTATTGACTTGAATGCGGTAGAGACAATGTTCCTTCAACAACGGTATGCCGACCTACCCGAGCCCGTGCGCATGAAGGGGAACTTCCAGGCCCCCTACAACATGCAGATTTTCATCATCCCCAAGGAAGGGGGCAAGAAAGACATCATTAAGCACATCAAATTCCTAGAAGGTGCAAAGGTCCTCCACAGCTCCATCATCTCTATGTGCCAGGGCGTTCCACTCGAGATCGACTTGCAGGGCAAGTACCGCGATGGTGGTCGAGGACTACAGTACATGCTCGAGGGGCTGGGCGGCTTCCAGGTCCGCTACCAGAAGCTCGTGTCCGCCGGTGCCTCGAGCAAAATGCCCAAAGAGACGGAGGACATCCGCAAGGGCTTCGCCTATATCCGTCAGTTTGGCCCGGAAGAAAACTCCGACGGGCAATTCACAGTGTGGACGGAGGAGCAGGTCAACGATCCGAACGGCCCGCTCCACAAGTGGGACAAGGGGACCATCAAGGAGTTCCTGAGGTGCCTCGCGGACCAAGGCTCTCAAGCTAATACGATCAAGGAGTGGCCTCTCACCTTCAAGAGCATCACGCCGTGGGCTTTGAACACTATCCTTGCACCGATTCTTCCTCATGTGATGTCCCACTCCGTTATCTGGATTGGCAAGTCTCAGGTGGGTAAAAGCCCGGTGTCCTACACCCTCTCATCTGTGGTGTCCGCATATTGGTTGATTCAGGAAGAGAAGGAGGGCAGCCCTTGCTTTCAGACATGCAACCACCTCGACTACTTCCGCAAGGAGAAGGGCAGACGAAACCGAGGGTGTTTGATGATGGCAACCTCAACCTGGAGCATCCCGCAGGTGTTAAGGCAGTGACGGAGGTGGACGGCGTCGACAGGAAGACAATGGCAAGATACAACGCGTCCTCGTACGCGAAGAATCAGCTATGCCAGATTTGCAGTAATCCCTATGACAGGACTGCAGAGCCGCCGATGGACGCCAATTCGACTCAGCACACCGTCACCTTCGAGCAGTTCTACAAGATCGTGCGCCCCTCCTTCCACAGGGACTTCGATGAAGAGGACCTTGTCGGTGTCTTCAAGCGATCCACCTTCATCGTCTTCACCGATGTGGGCATGTACGTACGTGTGCCAGGCACAGACCGCAAACCCGTTCCCCGGTATGCCTGGCCAGAGCGGGATATTGGCATGATCTCTCCATCTGCCCGACCCCTTTTGGCTGCCTACAAGCGCGGTAACCTCTCTCACTTGCCGGCAGATCATGACAAAGACATGCAGTGGAGTTTGAACTTGCTGCAGGCTGCGCTGGATGGCGAGGAGGTCCGCTATTGTGCGACCACCCGTGGGAAAGAACTGTTCTCAGGAAGGGAGTACGTCATTGAAGATCGACCAACACTCGCGGGCATTGAGGGCAAGACCAAGTACTACCTGGATGCTGGCGCTGCCGTCGACGAGCCGCCCACTAAGAAGCTTCGATTTGTGAAGTCCTCTTCCAACTTGCTCAAGGAGATCAAGAACGAGAATGCGCAGGATGCCAAAGACGAGCCGAAGGACGAGGATGAGCAGAAAACAAAAGAAGAACAGAAGGAGAACGAAGATGCGCAGGATGCCAAAGACGAGCCGAAGGACGAGGATGAGCAGAAAACAAAAGAAGAAGAGAAGGATGAGGACGTGCAGGGTATCAAAGAAGAACCAGAGGAGACGCATAAGGTGCACATCAAGCAAGAGCCAGTGGATCCCTCCTACTTTTCCAAGCCATTGAACCTGCGCCCTCTGGTGATCAACCTGTCAGACACGTCTGAGGATGCAAGTGACCCAGCCTCTGCTGCACCGGCTGCAGCTGATGCGGTTGGACCCTGTGGAGAAGCTTTCTGACCCTACAGCTCCTCCAGCAGCCGATGTGGTGGATGAGACCAAGGTCCTTGTGCCTTTGCCGGCTTCTTCTCCTGATGTGGTGGACCCTATGGACGAGATTCCCGACCAGTATGACATCGAGGCATACCGAACCCTTTCCCAAGAACTCGCGGATGCCATGGACATTGACGACAACTGAGCCGCGTGTGAGCCGCACTCAGCGGATTTTGTTCTAGAAGATAGAAATATGAACCCAATAGAGACATGGAGCTTGGCTAAAAAAACATTAGGTCTCCAGTGCCATCTTGCTTGCATTGATCGTTTACGCAGCCATCTGCTTCAATCGCCTTGATCCTTTGTAGTTGATCTTGCCCATCATGCCAAAGAAGGTCATGAAGTCCGTGAAGGCCAAGTTCCCAGATCCTAAGCGGGGGAAGTGGCGCGTGCAGCGAAGGCCTGCCTCAAAGAATCCTGCTCCGGTGCCATATGTCCGCCATGGCATGCCCACTACCAAGAACAAAGGCCACAGAGCGCGCTGGGGGCGTTCGATTTTGACTTGGGAATCTTTGACTGGACAGCGTCTCCACAAGCAGCTCCACAAGGACAAGATCCTCACAGACTGGGAAGGCAGAACTTGCCCTCGATGTGGCAACGGCGTAATGGGGCCCCTGAAGTATTACCATGACAAGAAGATTTGGGCGTACCGGTGCAAGAAGCGTGCCTGCCACAAGCAACTTCAGCCTCATGACTACCATCCCATCTTCTTCATGTCTGCTGGCAATTCTTCAACTCCACTTCAGAAGCAGGTGGCGGTCCTCTTCTGCGCGGTGGTGGGGGTCTCGAGCAATGCGGCGCACCTGCTCCTGGATATGGACCACAAGCCAGTGGAGCGCATCTACCACAACCTGGAGGTCGCTCGCTCGCAGTACGTCACCCAGAAGGAGAAGGACATTGTCTTCGGCGGGAAGTGGGAGGACGTGGAGGTGGACGAGGTCGACATTGGCAAGTTGACCGACGAGAGCGTGGCGGGAAACCTCAACACGAAATGGGAACAGTGGGGTGGACTCGTGGAGCGAGGAAGGCCATCCTCGCTGGTGCTCTTCAGGCTCAACCCCATCCTCACCAAAAAGAGATCTCCGGGGCCAGGTCCCATCAGGAAGAGGGACTGGCAGCCGATTGCGAAAAAGCACATCGCGGGCCGGAAAGTCATCCTCCACAGCGATGGGGCCAGAGCCTACAAGCTCAGGTTGCCGGACGTGAGGCATTGCAACGTCGTGCACAAGAAGAAGCGCATCGTCATCAACGGCAAGGCAAGTAACTCTGACCTAAACTGCTTTAACTGCCTCTTAAGGGATCTACTTGATTCTGTTATTCCTGTCTGTCAGGCCGTTTGGGTGAAGCCCCACTACACCAAGCAGCACGACGTCAAGCTGCCGGACGGGAAGAAGGTGCGTGTGAAGAGCGGCACCCAGATCATCGACCGGTTCTGGAACACCCTTCGATCTCACCTGAAACACACGAATAGAATCCCCGGCAGTCAGGTTCTCTTGCGAAAGCTGAGATCTGGCAAGGATTTTTTTGGTTTTTTAGGGACAGTACAGCCTTTTGAGCATCAGCATGCAGAAAGTGCTGTACTGTCCCTAAAATCCAGGCTTTGGAGGCTGAAAGTGCTGTACTGTCCCTAAAAAACCTAAAAAAACATTCCAAAAACAGTCTTGAGCACACAAACCTCCTTCTGGCAATGATTTTTTGGTTTTTTAGGGACAGTACAGCACTTTTTTTGGTTTTTTAGGGTGATGCTCAAAAGTGTTGTACTGTCCCTAAAAAACCAAAAAAAGTGCTGTACTGTCCCTAAAAAACCAAAAAAAGTGCTGTACTGTCCATAAAAAATCAAAAAATCCTTGCCAGAAGGCGGCTTGTGTGCCCAAGACTGTTTTTGGAATGGTTTTTTTAGGTTTTTTAGGGTACAGCACTTTCAGCCTCCAAAGCCTGGATTTTAGGGACAGTACAGCACTTTCTGCATGCTGATGCTCAAAAGTGCTGTGCTGTGTGATGTACTGTCCCTAAAAAACCATAAAACCAAAAAAAGTGCTGTACTGTCCCTAAAAAACCAAAAAAAGTGCTGTACTGTCCCTAAAAAACAAAAAAATCCTTGCCAGAAGGAGGTTTGTGTGCTAATTTTTTTTCCAGAAGGCTGTCCACACAAACCATCTGTAAGCATCTGCTTCAAGTTGCCTAACATCTGTCCATCAAGAATGTCGCAATCTTTGACTAATCTACTCATCAAGAATGATGCTTCTTTTTGACCCAAGTTTCCAGGATCAGAATCTGATCCTGGAACAGGTGGTCAAAAACAAGCATTTTACATGTGTTTTTCCAGTGTTTTTTGCTTGCAAGAGGCAAAATGTGGATCATGGGGGGGGGTGACCATATATCATGGAATGTTAAAGTACCCCCTGGCTGACTACCCCCCCCCCCCCCAAGTTAGTTTGACTGGGGCTAAAATAAGACCCAACTCGGACCCTGCCATGTAGACCCTTTTCATTAAGTCAAGCGCAGTTGCAACTTTTTCCTGGTGGCGCTTCCTGGTGGCGCTCATTGCATTCACTCAGCCATGTGATCGAGATACTCCTGCAATCTGGCATCGTCTGGCCTGAGTTGGCACGATGGACGGAATGACTGATGTGAACAATTCTGGGCTTTGAACCATTGAGTACTCGCGTGCAACCCAGGCACATTCTGTGTTGATCCCCGGGGTTGAGTTTGTTCCACCGATTGTAAGCAAAGCGAAGAACCTCTCTCAGAGCATCAATCTTCTGCGGACACCTTCTCGTTGGCCACTGACGCTGGCAACTGTCACGCTCCAGCGGGTTGCCTAAGGTAGACAGCGCGAATGACTCATGAGTCGAACTTTTTCTAGGCAAACACACAAGGACCGACAAACACACCTCTACATTTGTTGAATCCTCGTTGAACCCGAGCATTACAAACAAAGAACAGCACAGGTGTTGTCAAATCAAAACTAGGCCAAGTCAAAGAAAAACCGTTTGCAGAAATCCCACCAGCAAACACTCAGCTACGGTCAGGCGAGCGGCCGAGCGGGTACTCCACTCGCCACCACCTATCATAGGGGTGATGCCTTGCCCAAAACATGCCGATGATGGCTCCGCCGCCTGGAAGCAGCGCCTTGAGGTCGCTTGGCGTCAGGTTCCAGAGTCTGATCATTTCGCCATGTTTTCGGGCCGTTTGCCCTTCCTCCAGTTTCGACACTCGCTCATCCACTTGTTTTTTCACAGCTTGAAGCTCAGACCTAGTCATTGTTTCCAATCTGCCTGCAGCCCCTTTTCCAAAGAGAGCATCGTCGTAAGATTCCAAGGCTTGTTTCTTCAGCTCAGAGAAGGCCTCTTGGTTTTGCGTGTCAAGTTGCGACACGCAGGCGAGAACACCCAAGTCAACCTCTTTTTGCACTTGACCACCCATCAGTGCCACCACTTGGTTTTGCTCTGACTCAGGGACCCCTGCAAGCACGTGCCTGACGAGAGCTTTGATGTAGTCAAGCCTGACGATGCCGCCATTCTTTCCAGATCCAAGACCTTTGCTTGGCAACTCAACTCCAAGGCTTTTGCACGTCTGCTCAAGCTGAGGGACAGTCATGTCCACTCCTTTTCGCAACGCTTGTTTCAAGACCCACTGGTCTTTTTGCATAATCTCAAAACAGCACCCCAAGTGGGCCATCTCAGGTGGTAGAGCTGCAGGAGGCACGATCTGAACGGTCACGTGGGTCCAGACAGGCTGAGTTTGGGACACCGTGTAGTTGAACATGGTTTCAAGGATGTCTGAATCAGAGCTCATTGCCAAATACTCCTGGTCAAAGGTTTGCGCTTATTATTTGTCATCAATTCAACTCGGGGAGTTGGAAAAATTAACTCACCGAATTGATTCAAGCGTTTTGGTGGGCCTGGAACCCTAGAACGGCTTGGGCGTTCAACCCCCCCTTTTTCTAAAGAGTTGTTGAAGAAATATTTATTTCACTGGTGGGTCTAAAAATGTTTAAAGAGCCTTGGTGGGCCTGGAACCCTAGAACGGCTGGGGAATTCAACCCCCCTTTGTCAAAAAACACCACCGGTGGGCCTGACAATGTTTCAAGGGTTTGCCTGGAACCCTAGAACGGCTTCCCCTTGTTCTAAACAATGTAAACTATGTTCCCCCCTGTCCTTGTTGCCGACCTTGACGCAAGTCAACCGTGCCCCGATACAGCACCACTGCTTGAACCCAAGCGACAGGAAATGCTCACGCTCCTTGCGGTGGAAGAAAACGCTGCCGCGAGACAGGAGGACTCCTGACGAGGGTTTTGGGAGCTTCGAGGGTGTTGGGGACTTCGGAGAGGTACAATAGTAAGGAAAAGCATGCCCCCATGAAAACGTTTACCTCAACAGAGTGGTTGCAGATTTCCAATGAAAACAAGGCGGTGCAGTCCTGCCCACGCCATACTGCAGTGCTTGAACTCATTGTGACAGTCAGCCATGAGATAAAGAGCTGCAGCCGACGCTCGGTAGTGGCTCAATGGCCCACTATTCCTCCACTGAGACTTTTTCACCCCAGCCGCCGAACCAGGGATGTGAATGTCCTCCCCTGTGGGGAGCTCAGTGCTGGAAATCTTGAATGCATTGTTGAACTTCTTTTGCAGCTCAGACCTCTCCTTGCTGAACTGTTTGCGCCATCTCACCCATGCTCCAGTGTCTGGCAATAGCTGGCTCATACCAGAAGCATTCACATATTTTGATGTTGAGGCGTAGAACCAAACTGCGTGGCTTGCGATTTTCTTGTTTTTGCAGGTTCTGGAAGCAGCGTCTTGCAGGTCAGCAAAAACTGATTCGAGGATTTCTTTTGTAGAACAACTCCCCAAGAAGCACCTGAGGGCAAGCCGGCGTGCTTGGTACTCCTCCTGATTGTCCAGCTCAAAGTTTGCCCTCAGCAATCTCACCATGAACTCTCTAGCCAGCGGTTCCTCGGTCCAACCGAGGTCTCGCAAGCAGGAAGCAAGGGCTGACTTCGCCTTGCCTTTTACATGTTCTTCTGCTTTCATAACTGATTCAACCAGCTCTTTCAACTTGCCCATGCCCTCCTTGCGACCATTTTCTGTAGCCATCAAAAGCGTTGCGCATGCCAGCGGAAGGGTAAACTGATACAGAAGTTGCCCCCAAGCATAGTTTGAAGCCAAGCAAACGCTGAAGTCAACGGCTTTGCTTGCCAGCTCAATGTCGTCAGCCAAGCAAGGGCTTGAAATGTCTACGGGGGGGTTACAGGCAGGAGTCAGCCTCATTGCTGCGTACAAACTTGGGTCAGTAAGAACTTGCAGAATCGCGTTTGCAGTAGACATGGTTTCGCCGGCAGCCCGGCGCGCAATCCAGTCAATCATACCCTGCGGGCTGCCGCTGTATGCCTTCAAGCCCCTGTGGTAAAACTGCTGGAGAGGGTCAGTGATAAACACAATTGCGGCTGCAAACGCCCTCAAGCGGATGTCGCTTAGGAAATCAGCGTTCATCCTGTAAGGCCCTTTGCCTTTGTAGGCTTTGTAAAGGTCTGCCTTAGTGTACCGCTTCTCCTGGTTGCCATCCTCAGGACCATCTGCGGCTTCGTCTGCGCGCTCCGGAAGTTCCTCATCATTGTCTACCTTGGCCCGCAGACTTGGTGACTTGATTTGCTGATTTGCCGGCAACCGCCGCTGTATTGAGGGTTTCAATAAAACTGTCAAGAGATTTTAATGACTTCAGTTGTTCTCTTAGACTGTAGATGTGGTAGTCAGGACTGGTCTTACTGCAAGTTGGCAACGCTACAATTACACGAAAACTCAAAATGTGGCAACGCCTGCCAAGACAATGCGCCTAGACACAGCTCCGCCGCTCTCATGCAAAATTGCCCACGACGCTTCACGAAGCACCGTCCAGTCGGACAGAACCGCCCTGAAAGCATTCATCATGCCAAACCACGCCTTGTTCTTTACCTAGTGGGCTCAAGAAACAATCATCACACAGTTGATCTAAATAAAAGTCGTTTGCGAAATTTCTGGAAGCGTTTAAGCTGAAAAAACCTTGCAACAAATTGTAAGCCAGGCGCAAACAACCCTCGATTCTTGATTGACGGTGCGTTCATGAAGTCCTCAATTAAAGATGCTGCGTGATCTTCATCTACAACAAGGTGGTGCTCATCGTTGTCACGGGCAATCTCAAAAGCGATTTCTTGGAAATAAGCAGCATCCTGCTTTTGCAAGTACTTGTGCAAATACTCTTGCCTAGAAAGCAACCTGTCGCCAGTGCAAAATGCACCATGACCAAAATTGCACACAATGGTGAGCTTCATAACTGCCAAATCAAGGTCACATTCTCGAAGTGCTCGTTTTGTCGCATTCCAAAGTGGATGGGAATGTTCTGGCTCACAAAAGCCACGACAGCCTACGTGGCTAAATAGAAAATGAAAACTTTTGAATTGCACCTTCTCCTCGTCGGAGACCTTGAATCACACCGACGCGATGCGCTGGCGGGGCAGTACTGACAAAACAATATTACTGCCAAACTACGCATGTGCATTCCACCCTGGCCCAGGTAGGCGTGTGTTTGTAACAGTGGGAGCTTGGCTGATGTGTTCCATTTTCATTTCGGTCCGCGTAGAAACCCAAAAACAGCTCAACCAACTTCACACTGGCAATCCACAATGATGAGCGCCCTGAGAAACGGAGTTCAAACAAATTCAGTTTTTGCCGGTCCCCGATGGGTGTAGCATTCTTGCAGTGACTGGAACCCTTGCGCCCTTAACTCAAGCAATGGGCGAGACAGTAAGGTTTCATAACAGGGCTTAGTGGGAGTTGCGCCGCGCAGGTCAATGAGTTAATGACTTGAATGAGTTGATTCAGGCGCAGTTCTGTCACCAAAAAGTCAATCAGAAGTTTCTTTTTGCAGAAGGAGATTACTACGCTTGTGTGCCTTGGGTCAGTCAGAAACCCGCTACAACGTCAACAGGTTGCAACCTGGAACTCTGAACATGTGAGAAAATCAATACGACGCTGTCTGTCTAAAGTGTCGGTGAACGTTTGTTCAACGGCAATGTGTTTTGGGCGGGGGTTATTGCTGGACTCAAGTAACAAGATAACGACACTTGATTTTGGTTAAATGGACCAGTTTGAAATACCTGACTGACGTGGCTGTCAGGCTTGCCAGCAGCAGACTGGTGAGAAAGTAGGTCAAACAAAGGTAGCGCTGGATGTTTGAGTTCTTGGGACTGCTGCAAGCCAAGCGTCCAGTCTCAGGAGCGGCGCCTCGTCCGCTGGCGGAAGCTTCAGATCAGGATTCAGCATGCCCTTCCCCTTGAGCTTGTCACGGTCGCCCTTGACCCAGTCAGGGACAAAGGAAGCCAGGTTCTTGTTCGCCATGCTAACGAGGATGTGGTTGAGCGCCTTCACCACCACCTGTCCCAGTTTCAATCGTGTTCGCACGAGGCACCCGTTTGATAATCAGTTGGCCTTGGCACGCGCCTTCATTACAAACACACGCGCACGCACCCAGCGTAACTAGCAATCGGATCAGTTGAGAAAATGGAGGCACTCTTTCCCGCTGACTGTTTTGACCAAAATGCAAAATGCGCACAACCACGCACGCGTCCCGCGTCAAATATTCATATCCAAAGAGGACACTGAAACAAACTTGCAAGAAGCAGTCAACATGCGCTGATAACAACTCTTCCGTAAAGCAGCTTGCGAGCCAGCAACAAAGCCAAGAACAACCCAGCCAAGACATCCCTCTGCCTGCTTGCCAGCCGGCCAGGCAGAAGCGAAGGCATTCCAGGAACCCAGTGACAACTTAAGTAAAGCAAGCGCGCAAACGGACGAGCGAGCAGGGAACGGTAAGAAGCCAGCGCGCGAGCGAGCAAGTAACTAAGTAGGACGCAGGCAAATATTTTAATTAGCAAGCCAAAAAGGCAACAAAGCAGACTGTGCAAGCAGCAAAGCCGACCAACCAACCAACCAACCAACCAACCAAGCAACCAACCAACCAACCAATCAACCATCCCAAGCAAGGAACCAACGAACCAACCAACCACCCGCCAAACCAGGCAACCAACCAACCAACCAAACAACCAACCAATCAGCCAGCCAGCCAGCAAACTCAAGCAAGCCAGCAAGCCCAAGCCAAGCAAGCAAGCCAAGCCAAGCAAGCAGCAAGCAGACGGGGTAGGTGGCAACATGGGAATGCTGGAGCGGGGATCAGCCGCCAATTGAAGCAACGCGCTCTCGCACCAACCCAGTTAGGTAGCAGAATGCTGTGGGGGGGGGTCTGCAAAGAGGTAAAGAGTTTTGGTGTGAAACGGGGTTCCCCGAAAAAAGAGTCCTGCGCGTGTCACCCGTCGGTTTGTTTGGGCGGGGCTTGCGCGAAATTGAGACAGGCTGATGTTGAACTGAACAGTATCATGCGGTAAGTGCAAGGTTTGCGTGTTAAGGTTTGTTTAGCAACCTTGGTTGAAATCGCTTGTCTCAGAGCTGCACATCTTTCTTGACTCATTGACTGACCCGAGTAGATTATTGCTCACTACTCACACGCAATTTCACATTGCTGAACAACGGTGCGGTTTACCTGCTTCGCCATCAGGTACGCGCTAGCGTTGGGCAGGTGTTGAGGTCACCGCGTAACAATAATCCAAAACTTCTACGTGCTTCCTATCATGCAGAGCTGAGACACACCCGCATTCTCGCAGCCGAACTTGTGTGGCTATCTGCGTAGCCACTCCCAAGCAACTTCTCTGATTGATTTCTATTTTATTGACTGATCCCTCAAGATTGGACATAGGATGCTTGATGAGGGAACCCTTCAGTACACAAGGCCGACCTCACTGACAAAGCAATACCCCTCTCCACAAACATGTTGAAGGGAACTCATTGCAAGTCGATATCTGGTTCGTTCTCCCGCTACACTGTTTTTTGGCATTTGGCTGACTGGTTTAGAAAAGAGAAAGAACAGAATCGAGACAACTAATTCGGGAAACCCGCCACTGAGTCACAACCTGGATTGTGAAAATCATTCAGGACTGAGAAGCTCACATGTGACTGTCCACTGAGAACACCTTGCGTGCAAACTGAGGAGCAAGCGAAAAAGCAAACTGCGTCTCTCGCCCCCAGTTTTGGCCTGGGCGGGGGTAATTTGGCACGGCCATGTCGTGTTTCTACGCACTACTCGTAGACTTGGCCCCCAGCCGCAGGACGCTTGCGCCGTCAAGATGCTCCGCCACAGTTTTTGGAAGGACCTGGGCAGCGCTGTGCAAACTAAAACGAACAAAACAGGCGTTCACTTCCTTGCCAGTTCGGAATGAAGCAGGCTGTTGCAGGGCAAGTGTGACGTTGCCACGCGTGCCTATTTTCTCCTCTCTGGCTACTTCTGCCGTCTGAATGCGCATGTTCAGCGCCGAGGCTGACAGTCAGCATAACTGAGTGAACAGCATCGATTAAGATTCCTCCCCTCCCATTGAGTTTTGACTGACCCTGTGGTTTGAAACTGGGTCTATCAACCAAATAAAGGCTCAACACAACTCAAGCAACTACGCCCTGACTTGGGCACGCTCAGTGAGACCTATGGGATTTGACCTCACGCTGCTTGGCAATGGTCTTCTTTGGCATCTGCGGTCCCTTTCTTGAGCTCGGAGGGGTTGCTGCAGGGATCGCTTGGGTCGAAGGTGGTGGCGTCACAGCGTTTCCTGGCACAGGACGGGCCACATCGCTGCCACCCGCAGGCCAACAGCCAGGCAGGGTCTTTTGCGAAAGTCTCACATGGAGTGGGATCACAGGAGACCGCGGCGAAGAATCGTAGGGCCCTGACTTCTTGCTTTGCACAGGAGGGTTAGACTTATCAGGACGATCCTCAGCCAGCTCGACATCCAACCCCTGGGAGTTTGAACTGGGCCCCTCAGAGGTGCCATTGCTCTTGGCCGCATTTGTTGACAATGAGTCAGAGCCATCAATGATAGTGTCCCATGCTGGGCTTCCCATTTGGCGTCGAATCCGGCGAGGTGGCGTGCAAGCAGCGGAGCTGCGAACATTGCCATCATGAGCATGACCTGTCTGGCCGCTGGGCTGCATGATGCCAGACATTTTTTGGCTGTGGCTCACTAGTGAATTGCTTGAGCTCTGAAGTTGAAGTTAACAACACAGCGTGTGACAGGCCCCAAAACGGGCGGTTGCCTTTTCGTTTCCCTTTTGGCTTAAACCACAAAAATTACTGGAGGTTCAAGAAAAAAGACACACCCAAGCCAAGTCAACCCAAGGAATGCTTGTCACACGTGTTTCTTTTGTCTCGACCGTCTCATGGCAGCGCAGCGGACGTGCGCTCCAGGATGACCACATCGTGATCATAAGTCATAGAGAGGCCAGACGCTCGGATTGACAGCGACTGGATTTGGAAGCCGATTCAACAGGTCAATATTGCATGTGAAAGGTCAAAGAGCCACGAAGAGGCGAATAACAGTATATTGCTAAAACAGCTGTTTGCTTTGATTTAACTGAGCTGTTCGAGTACGAAACCACAAAACAGAATTACCTCAGGGCTTCCTCAAGTCACTGTAAAACAGCTCCCGCAGCCACGGCTAACATGGGCCCAGTGCAGATCAAACCCAGACACTTCACACATAATTTCGATTTGAGCTGACATTGGCTCATGCGAGGTGAGCTGCTGAGCTGACTGACGGCGCCACGCCGCCGTTGACAGGCCGTTCACTCAACATCCATGCAGCCCCACCCTTATTACTGCTTGCCAAGATTCCGCTGTTATTTTTGACCATCAAGTTAAAACCCAAGCGCAGACCTTAGCAGTTGCCTGCAGGGCTGTCTCACTGGATTTGATTGGCCTTCGACTGGTTCATCTAAGACTTCCTCTCTGAGCGCACCAGTCTTTCGTAAGAAAAGGTCGTGTTTTGAAAACACGATTGCTTTAGGAATTCAGGGGGGCCCTATTGCAATAATGTAGCTGAAATAGCGAACAGGCAAAAGCTTCACACCCCTGAAGCCTCGCAAGCTAACGGCCTCCAACCTGAACACCTAGTCCAACTTCGACCGAACAACCGACAAGCAAGCAGTCAGGGAATCTGTCAACCACTCAGCCAGGCAACCAAACACTACATCACAACGCGTAGACCAACCAACCAAACGTCCGTCCCAGTCAATCAGTCAGCCAGTCAGTCAGCCAGCAATCAATCAAACAATCCATCAGTCAATCAGTCAATCACTCACTAACTCAATCAAACCAGCCAATCAATCATTCCAATGTCAATCCAACCCAAACAACCCATCAAAAACACACCAATCCAGCAAGCAATCAACCAATCCGTCGGTGAATCAGGCAAATCACACCAACTCGAACCGAACCAACCAACCAATCAAGCAACCAATCGATCGATCAATAAAAAAAATCAACCAACCAATCAATCACTCAGACAATCAACCGATCAATCAACCAACCAATTAATTAATCAACCAATCAATCAATCAATCGACAATCAATCAATCGATCGATCGATCAATCAATCAATCAATCAATCAATCAATCAATCAATCAATCAATCAATCAATCAATCAACCAGTCAACCAATCAACCAATCAATCAATCAACCGACCAATCAATCAATCAGTCAACCAAAAATCATTCAACCATTCAAGCATTCAATCAGTCAATCAACCAATCAATCAATCAATCAACCAACCAATTAAGCAACCAATCAACCAAACAAAATCAAACAATGAACCAATCAATCAATCAATCAATCAATCAATCAATCAAGCAATCAATCAATCAATCAAACAATCAATCAATCAACCAATCAAGCAATCAATTAATGAATCAAACAACCAATCAATCAATCAGTCAGTCAGTCAGGCAATCAACCAATCAGTCAGTCAGTCAATCAATCAATCAATCAATCAATCAATCAATCAATCAATCAATCAATCTACCAAGCAATCAATCCGGCAAGCAGAACCAGTCACTGAGTCATGTAAATCAACCAACCAATCAACCAGCCAATCAGCAACCAAACAACCAATCAATCAACCAACCAACCAGCCAACCAACCAACCAACCAACCAAGCCACCAGCCAACTAAGCAACCAAACAGCCAATATCAACCACATCAAGCACTCAGGTCAAGCCATCCACCATTCGTTCAGGCAATCACAGAATCTATCTAGCTGTTTTTACTTAAGGTGTCTATTTAGCTATCTTGTCAATCAAGCAGCCACGTCGCGCAATCGTTCAATCAGCCTTTCCGGCAGTCCGTCAGGCAGTCAGTCAGTCATTCAACCAATCAATCAAGCAAGCAGTCTGCCAATCAGTCAGTCAATCAATCCATCAATCAAACAACCAATCCGTTCATTCTCTGCTCTTCCTGAACAATTTCCATTTTTTGCAATTAATATTCAACCAGTAAGTCAATCAACCAACCAATCAACAAATTAATTCATCAGCAATCAACTAAACTACAAAAATCAAATCAGCTCAGCTCAAGCGAAAGCAAAGCTATTCAGATCAATCAAGCAATCATTCACCTCGCCAACGGACCCAGCAACCAATCAGGCAGTTACAATCGTCAATCAACAATCAGGGAATCAAACAATCAAGCGCTACAGCAACCAGCCTCCCATCAACCATCAATCAAGCAGTAAATGGGCCAACCAGCCATCAGAGAGCAAGTCAATCAACCAATCAAGCAACCAACCAACGAACCAACCAGCTGATAACTAACTAACCAACCAATCAAGCAGGCAGTCGGTCGGTCGGTCCATCAATCAATCAACCAACCAACCAACCAACCAATCGATCAATCAGTCAATCAATCCGTCAATCAATCCGTCAATCAATCAATCAATCAATCAATCAATCAACCAATCAATCAATCAAACCAATCAATTCAATCAATCAATCAATCAATCAAACCAATCAATCAATCAATCAATCAATCAATCAATCAACCAAGCGATCAATCGAATGAAACCAAATCAAACCACATCCAGCAAGCAATTCACCAATTCAATCAGTCAATCAATCAATCAATCCATCAATCAATCAATCAATCAATCAATCAATCAATCAATTAATCAATCAGTCAATCAATCAAGCAAACCCCTCTGTCAACCAACCAATCAATCAATCGGTCAGTCAGTCAATCAATCAACAAAACCAACCAACCAACCAACGAATCAACCAACCGACCAACCAACCAACCAACCAACCAACCCACGCACCCACCCACTCACCCACCCACCCAATCAAACAAATCAAGCCTGGAGCGTTCAAAAAAACCCAAGCACAATCCATCTGAAGCCACGTAGCAATCTTTTCAATCAACCAGCTACGCCAACAAGTCGCAGAACTCAGCAGGCAGGAGATTTGCAAGCGGTTTTCCCGAAGCGCCTTCGCGACCAAAATAAAGTCCGCTGATTTGCTGTCAGGCAAAATCCGGTATGATGGAATGCATGGCCAACCAATGAACAAAGCCAACATTTAATCCTTCAAACCGTATACTTGTCTGTCACTTAGTCACTCAGTCAACAGGCAGTCAAGCAACCTGTCCACCGAACACGCATTGCAACAGAATGTTGGGGTTGAGATTAAAACCCTCCTAAAGTCAGACGCAAAGTTAAACCCATGCTGGTTGTTTTGTGTTGGCCATATATTGCAAATACCGTTGGGGGTTGCCCTTATTTGGCCCTTATTTGGGTCTTATTTGGACCTTATTTGGGCCTTATTTGGGCCTTATTTTCTGAAATCTGCAAATACCGTTGGGGGTTGCCCTTATTTGGACCTTATTTGGGCCTTATTTGGGCCTTATTTGGGCCTTATTTGGGCCTTATTTTCTGAAATCTTCAAATACCGTTGGGGGTTGCCCTTATTTGGGCCTTATTTGGGTCTTATTTGGACCTTATTTGGGCCTTATTTTCTGAAATCTGCAAATACCGTTGGGGGTTGCCCTTATTTGGACCTTATTTGGGCCTTATTTGGGCCTTATTTGGGCCTTATTTGGGCCTTATTTTTGAACTGATGGGGAGCGAGCTCACATTGGCTTGATGTTGGCTAGTTTTGCTCAAAACACGGTCAACATAGGGGCCAACATATGCTCAGAAGGCTGCGCTTTGGATCACTCAAGTGGCTCATGGAAGCAGCGTGTCAATGTCCCCCTTCTTCAATTTGGTTCTAATAGGTTTATTGGAGGCCTTCGGCTTGGTCTCGTCTGCTTTGGTCGCTGTAGTCTTGGCCAGAGGCGCGGTCTTATCAGAAGCAGCTCCCAGACCGGCAGCCTCCAAGGTCTTGTCAGCATGAGTATCCGAGATCTTGTCCTGTTTAGCCTCCGAGATCTTGTCCGGAGCCTTGTTCAAGTCAATCTCCAAGGTCTTGTCCAGGTTGTCGTCGCCCTGTTTCTGTTGATTCCCTGGTTCCTCAACTGCCGCAGCCTCTTCAGGCTTGGGCTCTTCACCCTTCTCCTTGCAAGGCACTTCGCCCGCGGCGGGCGTGGAAGTGCTTGGAGCCATCTTGCTCGCAGGCTGGGCACTTGACCTGGGGTCTGGGCGGGTAGCTAGCTGCAAGTTGATGTTCAATATTTTAGCAAAGTATTGTTTTGGGTCAGTGGGTAAGCGACTAGCTCAAAACAACTCATTGGAAACGGGTGAAAATAAACTTCGCTAAGCTGAAGTGCGTTACTTCTGCAAGTCCCTTGGCGCGGCTGCTTTGCAATGCCTTTGCAACGCTCCGAGGGGGGTACTTCTTGGGGTCCGACTGGCACTGCAAAAGCCAAGTGGTCCCGTTCTTGTCGGCAACCTTGCAGATTTTCCTGGGTGGCCCAAACTGCCAGTTGACTTGCCAGGTGTTTTTTTGGATTGATAAACATCACAGTGTTTGCCAAAAGCGCAAGCTTACGATGTAACCGATTTGGCAAGCTTCCACGACTCGTTGGAAGGCAAGACCAGCATTTTGCCGTCCCTTTTCGAAACCAGGGCTGAGTTGCCATCCGAGACTTGCTCAATCTTTGGCGACTCGTCCGAAAAAAAAAAAGAAAAAAAAAAAAAAAAAAAAAAAAAAAAAAAAAAAAAAAAAAAAAAAAAAAAAAAAAAAAAAAAAAAAAAAAAAAAAAAAAAAAAAAAAAAAAAAAAAAAAAAAAAAAAAAAAAAAAAAAAAAAAAAAAAAAAAAAAAAAAAAAAAAAAAAAAGAAAAAAAAAAAAAAAAAAAAAAAAAAAAAAAAAAAAAAAAAAAAAAAAAAAAAAAAAAAAAAAATAAAAAACTCAATCTTTGGCGACTCGTCCGCTTGGGGGTCATCATCGGAAAAGAGGGACCCCACCTCATCGTCGTCGGGAACCTCATCTACGGGGGGGGCTTGAAGAACCCAGTGGTCAACAATCCTGCAACAGCAGCCGGTGGCCATCTGTTTGTGCCCGGTCACCCATCAACCATTGAAAGGGAGAATGTTTCTAAATTAGTTGACTTTGGGTCATCAGTTTTTTGCGCCTTAGGTCCCTGTCCGTAGCTGGATTGAACGAAATGGTGGGCAAACTTTGCTGGGTTCTGTGAATTCAACATACCTCTTGAGCGCATGTTGGCTCGTTGGGGCAAACCAAATTGTAAATGGGGGGGGCAAAACAAACAAGGGTTCAAAGAGTCGATTGGTGTTGGTTCACTCCTGTGTCCCTGAACTGAGCGCGTTTTTTTTTAGTTTTCTCATGCGCAGTGTCCTGCAAAGGGCTGCCGCAGTGCTTGTGACCGACAGCTGCAACAGCGACAGGGTCTTACAGACGGCAGGGAAACTCCTTGCTTAAAGAGTCGGGGGGCGTTCCAACAATTCGGGGCGCAAGAGAAAATGCCACTTTCGATCACATGAGCCAGAAGGCAAACTAGGCAAACTGAGAACTGATGCAGGAGTACGAATATTGTTAAACTCTTGTTTCCTGCCTTGCTTCTGCATGCCCTTCAGCATCTTAGGAGAGCCGGCGACCCTGGGCGTTGTCTTGGTCGTGGTTGAGGCGGGGTGGGCCGACTCGGAGCTGCTCTGGGCTGGGGATTGGGAGTCGGTCTGTGCACGCTTCTTCCGCTTCCCAGTGTCACGGTCACGCCGGCTGCGCTTCTTCTCCTGAGGTTGCTCACTGCTGTCGCTCTCGCTGGCCTTGTCCTGCCGCTCTCTCTTAGACATTTTGGTGCGGTCAGCGCGCTGTGAACGGTCACGCTTGTGCTTGGAGTCGCGGGATTTGGCCTCACAATTTGACTTGGAGCTCTGTGAGCCACACTCACTGCTGTCGGACCTCTCCCTCTTAGCCTTGTCGCGCTTGGGCTTGGAGCCGCTTGCTTTGCTCTCCATCTTCAACACTTCATCCGGCAACCGCGCGGGCTCACCGGTTGAGCTCTTCGCTGGCAAAAGCCAGCTATAGCCTCCGATGGCGCGGCGCTTCAGCTTGTTCTGGGCAAACTGCCGAAGTTGGTACTTTGTGTAGGCGTGCATCTCGTCGGGGCCCCACCCCGTGTGGGCTGCTGCCTGTTGCGCCGTTCGTACTGCGACGCAGCACCTTTCTGCACCTCACTCTTCAGATCCCTGCAGGGTCTGAGTCTGGCACCCAGATGAGACAACAAGGTCTATTTTGATTCTCCCACAAACGAAAAGAAACCACAGTCGTGTAGATTCTCAGATTATGGTTGGGCGTCATCTCAATGACACTGAGAACACGCAACTACGAAGTTGGAGCTCATCAAACACTAGTGGGGGGGGGGGGCAAGGAATTTGCCAGGTTTCATGCGCAACTCCGTGTTCGGTTGGGTTCAGTCAAAGGCACTGGTTCAGTTTTCTCTTTAGCCAAGAAACGACAACTTGAGATCGCTTGGCAGCCAGCCAAAGTTGAACGCCAGGGCGGAGAAGAGCTTGGCTCGGCGGGCGCCCTTAAAGACGTCTCTTTGAAGCCATGTGGGGTCCGCACTCTCCAGCCAGTCCAGGAGATGGCAATCCTGAGTGAGCGGCACTGATTGACATGGATTAAAGTCTGTTTGGCCGTGATTTGTGTTACCAACAACTCTCTGTTCCTTTGTTGATGGCCTCAGAAAGTTAGAAAGGTGACGCTGGTGTTTGGCGAGTGATCTGAAGGTAACCGCTGAGGCCCTGTCAACAAAGTCCTTGTACGTCGTCTGACCGTTGTAGTGCTCCGTCTCAATGCGACGGCCGCTTGCGCTGCCTGCCTTTGCAGACGCCTTTGACTTGGCCTTTCCCTTGCGCTGCGTCCCCGTGCTGCGGCTGGGCTTCTCAGGATTGAGGTTCAATCCACCAGGGAACCTTACTTACTTGAGCGTGAAATCAAAAACCTTCTTGAAGTCTTACCATAAATATCAAGAAATTCGCGCTGAGTTCACACTTTGTTGCAAGGTAAGTATGGAAACTTGTGGTGGTTTAGCTGTAAGCTGCATGGCAGACTCACCCGATTCGCTATCCTCGAAGAGCGAAACCATCTCCTCCCTCTTCATGGTTTTCTTAGTTCTGGATCTTCCCCGCTCCCGGGAGCTGGAGCTCGGGCTCCGTCGGCGACTCCGTTTCTCACCCCGCCGACCCATGGGTGCCAGGCGCTGCTACGGAGCACAAGGTGGTCAAGTTGCAGGGCAATCTGCTGGAAAGCTTGAAGGCAGGACATGAAAGAGAGTTCAGCTGTGTGCTCAAACAAGCATTGTGTGACATTCATATATTTGCAGTCAAATAGATTGATGTGAGCATTTGCAAAGTTTGGCTTAACAACTTGAACAACAGCAAACAGGGTCACAGCGCACTGGCACTTTCACCCAGCTGTGTGTCTGGATGGCGGAGCGTTTGCTAGATTCGAATTTGACTCATAAGTGTCTGTGCTCGAAAACGCGGCCCAGCCTTAAACACTGCTTAAACTTGTTGCATTACGGGTCAGATATCGCTAGAGGGACCTATTCCAACGTTGAGCTAGCAAAACATCCACAAGAAAACTTATTGAGCGCCAGCCAGCCTGTTCAAGCGTTCAGCACCACCTTAAAACTGCTGAGAACGCAGAGCTGAACTACGGCTGCAGTTGAAAAGTGAAACGAGTTTCCGGCTATGGAAGCAGCCCTTCTGACATCTGCCACTGGCAGAATGGGCACTCCCATCGCTATGGCGGTTTCAGGAGTGGTTGGGAAGCCGAGAGCGGTGAGTTTGTCTTTCGGCGTCATCCAGGTGTCGGACGCCGGATGGTACATGCGACCACTCCCAGTCCTGAATGTCGGCAACCTTCCAGATGTGGCCGACCAGCAAAGCCTCTTCGACGGGTCGTCTCCCAGATAGACAAACAGGTCCAAAGACTGGTCTGCCCGGCGCTTCGTCTTTTTGTAAAATGACCTGCACACAACCCTCAAGGCTCTGGCCTCTCGGTCGTTGAGGAGGTAGCGCATGGAGTACGGCTTCCCGGGTTTGATCTTGGCTCACACTCGCCAGCAATGTAACAACACTCGAGCGACCGATTGTTCACCTAAACGAGAAACATGACACGTAGGTTGAGCGCTAGGTTGCAGCGACCGCTCTCCAACCAATGTCAGACAGCAATATTCACATGGACAACGCTAATTATGTGTCAAACCGTTGGTTCGTCAAAGGGTACTGTTTAAGGAATCCTGGAACCCCTTGGCTAGCTAATTGCTGCGCTGCGCAGGTTTTGCAATGCGCTGCCAGGTGAAGTATGTATCAAATGTCAGCAGAACAAACTGATCTTGATTCCGAATGGAATTACCAACTGGCAGCCGGTGCCAATCAACAGCTGAGTGACCGGTCGCAAGGAGATATGTCGAGTCAACGCAGTTCTTTGCGCCTCAGCGAGCCGGTCCCGGTTGTTGCTGACCACGTAGTCCCTCGGTCGTGTTGCCACTCTTGCGCGGATGTACTTGCTGACCGACTCGTACAGCGCTTCGACATCAACCGCTTCATAGGCAATGCCTTTGAGCGACAGCGCGAGGTACGTGCGGTCTCTTGCAACCCCTGCGTGCCCTTGGTCTGTAGGACAGGCAAACAACTGCCTTATATTGTAGTGTCGCCCATACAAGTGCTGGATGAGCGGCACCGATAGCTCCTGCGGCTGCGCGGTGTTAGGCAAAGTCTCTCTTTCATGCTACTGAAACCTCTTTTTAAACAGTCATGCGCTCGCTTTTAAAGCAGACTTTACCCGTCGCTTTTTAGGCGGTCCGGCACATTCTCGATGACCAGGAGCGGCGTTCGGTTCTGAACGTGCATCTTCGCGTGCGCAGCAAACACCGAAGAGGTGGCCCCCTCCGACATTTTTCGCAAACCAGCTGGCGACATGTCAGGGCATGGAAGACCTGATATGTCATACTGGCTTTTGCGCGCTGCAGGCCCAAATACAGGGCATTCCTTGCTGTGAGCAAAGCAGTATTGGTTCACACACAAAGGCGCTCTGTTGATTGCGTGCGCCCGTTCCATGTAGCTGCTGGTTGGGTCAAAATTCCCTGCAGGCATGATGCCCAGCAAGTCTCCATGAAGGCAAGGCGGGGATCTGAATGTGTCCAGGGCAGCGTTGCAC